AAGTCTCTCCATGGACTCAAAATATCTCACCAGGTTACTAAAGGACCCAAAAGATCCCCTTGGAGTTCCAAATCTGGCAAAGTGGGGGAAAAAGCCCACTTTTTTATGCTGAGTAGTACGTAGTATGTGTACAGACTCACAGAATATGCTGCGTTGGAAGTGACCACAAGTGATCATCAAGTACAAATCCTAGCTCTGCATGGGACCACCCCCAAGAGTCACACAATGTGCCTGAGAGCGCTGTCCAAACACTTCTTGAACTCTGTCAGGCTTGGTGCTGTGACCACTTCCCTGGAGAGCCTGTTCCAGTGCCCAACCACCCCCTGGGCAAAGAACCTTTTTGTAATATCTAACCTAAACCTGCTCTGACACAACTTCAGCCTGAATGGCTACAGCAATAGCAGACTAAGTTGTGAAAGCTCATGTTAATTCATAGAATTTCAAACTTTTCCTAAAATATGATTTTTTTTTAAGTTTTGATTCTCCACAAAAACAAAACCTGTGGCCTGAGGAATGGATATAAGGTCTGTGTGATGAAGCTCCTCAGGAGGTAGATACACAAAATTGCAAGAAAGTACATGGACTGCAGAAGGATGTCTGGGCACCCACTGGTACTACAACACTGCTATCTTGTAAAGTGAGGAGAAAGCAAGCAGAAAAATCTCAGTATCCTTCTGGTGAGATACAAAGATGCTGAGAAAGAGAAGAGTCAGACTTTCTCACCCTTGGGAACCAGAAATCTACAGGAGGGCAGCGCAGCCTTCTTCATATTAATTGGTAGTCATACTGCACCCCATGAAACACTAAAGTAGCCCTCCATAATCATGAATTTAATAAGCACACTTCACAAAAAGGAATTACACAAACTTTAAGAGAATGAAAAAGCCCAACACGCAGTAAAACCCCACACAACAAGCTCAGCATACAGATCTAATTGTAAAGATATTCTTGGATTATTTTTTACTAATCAGTCACTAAATCCATCAGTAGTCTTCCCAAAAAGGAAGAGTTTTGAAGTACAAAATTAGAATCCCTAACTTAAAGCTCCAATTCACATTTCTAACATTTCAGGATTAAAACACAGGCATCTTTTGCAACCCACAATCCCCTAATTCAGGTGATTCATGTTATAGAAGTCAACATGGACCCTGGAAACCCAGAAGCTTGCTTCCCCTGCATACGATTAACGGTGCTGGAAATTACTAAACATGTAATAAATAGTAATTGCTTTTTAATCAGTGCCACAATATTTGATGCTTGCACTGAATAATGCAAGACCATATGGAGAACTGCCAAGTAAATCTGTAGCATCTAGCTGGATTCACATTAAGCTTCATTTGTGTATGTGAATTTATGTATAAGTGAATATATTTATACATGGAGAACATGAAGTGCTCCATATATATTACATTATCAATGTTGTCAATTAAATTTTCATCCAGATGAAGTCTGTATGTGTTGATGTTCACGTTGGACTATTGATAAGTCTGTTCCCAATTACTCCACTGATGTGATCTGAAGACACCTAACAGAAGGGCTCTACTATATCTAAGTAAAGATATATCATCCTGTCTTTATACACTCCATGCACAGAGCCAAACCAAGAAACTTGCCTGTTCTCTCAGTCTGCTAATGTCTCTGAAAAACCATCAGAGAGGACCACCATGTAGCTAGCAGCTGTTTCTTAGACATCTCTAAATGAAAGATTTTCCCTTTTTTAAGATATAGGGATGATGAACATGACTAGAAATAATCTGAAGTGACCAGGCACAGTGGGAGGGAGCAGAAGACATGGCTGTGCTGAGAGGTGCATCCAGCTGCTGAGTCTGTGGGTGCCTCTGAAGCAGACGGACAGCATGAAAAATTAGGGAAAGTGTTCCTGGGCTGGATACATTTGAGTAATGAGAGAAGTTTGTAAAAGTCAATCAGAAAAAAACACGCTTAGATAAGATCAGACTAGAGCAAAATAAGACAAACAGGAGAATCAAATCACAGTTGAGATCTCAAAGATGTGAAGAGCAAGTAGAGAGAAAAGATACAAAAAGAGAGAAAGCAAACTATGAATAAAAAGTGGCATTAGGTCAGTGTGAAAAATTATGATTAGCGAGAAAAATTGGCAATAAGAATGGTGAGTGTGAAAGCAAATTATCTAACTTTAATATAGTAGGATAAACATTAACAAGGACATTGAAAATTACCATACAATTTTCCAGTTCCCCAGAAAATCTACATATGATTGGGAATAATTCACACCACAGCTAGGAGAGACTGAGAAATAAGTATGAACATTACAAACAACAACTGAGTAAAATTTACTATCTTTTCCAGAGATTGTGGTATATAAAGGCTCCAAGTCAGATATTCAGAGGAATAGGGTGGTAAGCAGCAGCAGTTCACAGGTGCAAAACAGTTACTTTCCTAAACTCAAGAACATCTAAGTTTCCAACCCTTCAGCAACCAAATGCAAACACGAATGTTGCAGGTCTTGAGCAGGGCACTGTGGAAGATAAAAATAGTTCTGCCTGCAACAAACACTTGTCTCTACAGGCTCACAACCCGGCAGTTGAGAAGCACGAGGTGCACTTTTCCATTTCCTAATAGAACATCAAATCACATGCTCAGCCACTTGCAGATCAAAACTAGCTGTCTTACAGCTGTGCAACTAGTGATAGGATTAAAGGAACACATAAAATCCTTGCAAAAATACTTGTCAATTTGGGATTCTCCAGATATAGCTCATCCTCAAAAAAGCCACAGTGCATAGCACATGGCAATATCAAAAACACAGCAGAAGAGGGAAAAAGTTCCAAAATGCTCATAACTAAACTAATGTATATTGTGAAAGTGCAGAGGAATTTTGCAGAGAAGTTTTATTTCATATCAACTCTTTAGCAGCATACAGGGGGGGAACATTAGAGAACTGAGTTGCAGAAGGTTTAGAGGAGATGCAGGTGTTTAAAATAAAAAAGAATGGCTCTCTACATGTTAAATTGGAAGAAGAAGAGGCAAGAGCAGACACCAAAGAGTTTTTGCCATGCTCTTGCCAACGTATATGACCTAGCTACTGCAGAGAATGCCAAAAATTTTTCTTTTTGGATCTTGCTGAAGTGCTGTCACAACAGCAGTCCAGTGAGATAAAAGGGCACTCAAAACTGCAGGCATGCTTTAAGCTCACTAAGCATTCTGTTATTCTCTGATAGCTTTCATTTTATTACGGAAATGTTTCCACATGGAAATGACTTATGTGTGCAAGGAGAAGCCTCTCTCACAAGAAGATTATAGCAGTACATCACAGAAAACCCCAAAGAAAGCACCTGGTTGCCCCAAAGAATATAGTATGTTCTAATTCCCCCTTTATTATATTTTTCCTGTTTCTTCTTAATGGTAGAGAGATACAGACAAAAGAAAGGAGTGGAAAAAACCACAGTGAGAAACAGCAACATGGAGCACTGCAAGGAAAGAAAGGTTAATTACAGCACAAGAAAAGATGCAAGGAATGTGAAGAATGTCAGCAAGCAAATAAATCAATAATCTACAGTCATCATCTGCATTCCTGAACTACCTTGAAAGCAAGGATATCTGCCCTTAGCATTCCTGAAAACAGTAGAGATATTCAAGGAAGACCCCCTGCCTGCTGCACACTCAGTTCCTGCCAGCACCCTTGTGTCAACAGCTGATTACAAGGGAACTTTTCCAAAGGGAGCCTGTACTATCTCTTGTAACAGCTTTTTTAATACGAGCTTGTAAATACCTCGAGACAGCCCAGAAATATTAACAAGCCAAAATTCATGTTGTGATTATTGCTCTTAGTTGAAAAAAACCTCAAGGTCATTATCAAACAATTGCAGGAATGATGCACTAGGTTCCCCCCTCAACACTGCTCTCTAAAACATACCAGAGCCTAGCAGCTCATATGGAATAACAGCACAGATCAATAAAGCCGGAAGACTAATGGGGTTTTACAGATATATTTCTTCACAATGGTATCAACATACTATAAGACTTTTACAAAGGAAGGTGAACAATAGAGACAAGGAGACCTAAAAGTCAAGACTTAACAAGTTGGAAACATTCTGTATTGCTGATGGAGAAAAACAAAACAAAAAAACAAACCCCAAACTAAAACAAAACCCAAAACAAAACCCCAACCCTCAAAACAAGTATATAACTGACATCAAGGAGATGCCGTCAAGTAATATGACACAACAGAAATGGATCTGCAAAGCCAAACAGTGGGTGCTAAAGGCCTTACTGACAGCCACCCCTTACACATTGCGGGGGAGGCTTACTTCAGATGAACTGTAGACTAGTGGCATGAACTGAGCATCCAGTAGGGGTTGAGCTAAATAGCCTGGCTTAGTTTTGTCCATAAAAGAATTTAGATCAACCTCTGGTGCAAACCAAAATACTGGAAATGGGGAACAGAAATTTGATTCAGCAGTGCAATCCTCGGCCGCTGCTAACACAGATTTACCCGAAGTTGCAATATGACTCTGATGCTATATATAAAAAGTCTTGTAAGTCCAGTATCTGTCTCAAACAAACAGCAACAAAAAAGAAAAGGATAGAATGATTCCATGAGCACTGGTGCTTAGAAGATCACTTTTGTCTACAAGACGTAGCAGTAATTCTTCAAAAATTGCTTTGCCACACAGAACATATAAAAAACCCACCGCAAATCTTCTTATAGAATTATTTCTAAACTGGACTTGCTTGTCTTCATGCATACACAGAATGCTTTTGCAACACTTGTTTTTGCAAATGAAGCTGATACAATACAATTAAGTAGCTGGGGGCATCTTTTTATGTGACTGAAGAAATTTCTTAATGAAGTGTAGCAATCAAAACAAGCCTATTTTCAATGTCATTCCACAGCAAAGCTGGGGGCTCCACCCCCAACTCTTCACATGTATTCAACAGATTTTACAGTCATCTTTTACATAATGGATGCAATTACATTAAAAAAAAAGAGAGAGAGAGAGAGAGAAAACTTACTGTACCTGTATGTTGTTCTTCAATCCAAGCTTGTAGATACATGAAGAGGAGTAGACCAGCTACTCCAAACAGCAGTACAGACACAAAGACTTGTCTTAGGTTCATGACCCTATCAGGGGTCCTCTTTTCAGCTTTCAAAAAGACTCATGGCTCGCTTTTCTGAAGTTTTCAGCATGCCTGCATCTTCTTCAGTATCTTCCCCACAGACACCAACCTGGAATAACAAGAGATGGAGGTTGTTTTCTGTTTTTATTCTTCACCAGAGACTGTGTAAACAGCATACTATATACAAGCTGGAACTCTTACAAGACACTACTTTCAATGCTTATATTTCTGTTCACAGCCTCAATGCTTTTTCTACCCCTGTATGAATTCCAAGCAGAAGTGTTTCTTGAAGTACCTGAAAAGACAATTTCACCTCCACAACACCAAACATTACCCGCTGCTGTAACAGAAGGAGGTGATGACCCAAACGAGATCATCAAGTGTCACACCAGTACACCACCAGCACACCACTCTGCCTGCCAACCTTCACAGCTGAGAAGCTACAATAAGCAGCTGGAGCCTCTCGGGATCCTGCAGTAACCCCCACAACACAACAACTTTGCTTGCAGTGCCTCAACATCAGTTCAGCCTATGCATCGAGGAGTCATACTCTGATGTTTATTGTCAAATATGAATCTAAGGTGAGTTTTTCAGGGTTACAGAATGTCAGTATGAGAATATATCAGTAACACAGCAGAAAAGGAATTAGTGGATCATCTTAATACTCAGCTATTTTGCAACATGGAGAAGGACCTGTCAGGAACTCAATTCTTGCCACTAAGTTTGAGGAAAATGAGCTCAAATGTAAAAACTTATAAAAAAAATTACTTTCTTGCACACCAGTGGGCCCAGAAAAAATAATTTACCTGATACTCTGCACCTGACACAAAGGGTTCATAAAATTCAGTTTATAACATCAGAACATAGAAGACACTATGTATCACTAAAAAGACAACTCCTTAACCTCAATGAGAATGTCTTCACTTTAAAAGCGCATTATTAGATGTTGAAGAGCAGGTGTTGAAACTGGCCTCACAGCAAATGTGTTAAAATTCAGTATAATGCACACCCTTGTAAGTGCACATCTGACAGAAGAGTCTGGTGAACTACTTAAGCGATGCTTAAGGAACCATTAGTCAAAGAATCAACAAGTGCAAACCTCTTCTGTTTCGCTGTAGACAAAAACTGTGTTGTTCACGTAACAGGACATTGGCAACATCTACAGTAGGAAAAAAGATTAAAAACAGCAAATAAATAAGATGTGAGGATCTGAATAAGTATCTTTGAAATAAAGTATTTAAACTGGAAAGCAAGAATCAATTTCTTTTGAAAAAGGTTGTTTGGGATTCACAAGTTTCTCTCATAATAGAAAAGTAAGCAATCTGGACCGACACAATGACAGTGGCATGCTCCAAATAAGCCTGCTTTTGTGGTTTTGTCACTTTCTTCCATCTCCGACCACACAAAACTCCCAAATTTTCAGCCCTTCTTTCTGAAAAGTGTCCTTGAGGAGGGGCAAGAAGAGCTTTTCAGGCCACATAGATGATGCTGAAAGTAAAGTATCTCAGACCACATCTCCACAAACATTTCTGACACACGTAGGCTGGCACTGCTGCACTCTCCAGTCACTTGCTCTCAGGACCCCTGACTGCCCAGCTCTTGCCACTCTTGCCATGAGGGCTTACACACCTGTTCAGTAACATTCTTCTGAACGTTCATCCAGCTAAATAGATGGATGGATAGCTCATCCAGCTAAAAACTGCCCCAGGAAAAGGAATGGGGACCTTACTGACCAAGGAAGTCAGGAAACACTAGTTTAATCAAATTACAGCTCCCAAAGGTTTTACCCAAGGAATAGCACTGATGTTTTTTCCTTTAGCAGTAGCAGCTACTGCATGCATCCATGACACCTGATAGCACAGGATACACAGCTGACCTTGCCCAGACACCATCATGGTTGCATCCAGCACCATCTACGAGACCTGAAAGGTGATGATGCAGATGCACAGTAAAATCAGGAGCACTTCCTAATAATTTAACCTGACAATAAAAAAACAGATGTTCTTCTACTAGGTAGTTTTGGTTTTGAGTGGACAGAAGTTCCTAAAAGGAAACAGCAGTTCCAGGTGCCTTTTTTTTTTTTTTTACTACTGAACATACCCTAAAGCCAATTCACTTCACCATCACTACAATTATCTATGTATCAAGAACTTACATGCTGCTTGCAATTAGTTTAATATATTTAAATTTAATTTATATGAAACTGTGTTCTTTGTTTATATGTTGGCTAAGTTTTAAGGTTAGTTTTAAGGTTAGTTTTAAACAAGAGTAACACTACTTTTAATTAAGACTACCTATTTTAGCACAGATCAGACTCTAAATACATCAAAGCCGTCCAAACTCTGAAGCTATTCTGCTACCTTATAAGATTTTAAAGGCTTTTCAGCTTGAATAAGTAGTTTAATTTATTTAACACAGTGATTTGTAACCCACATATGAAAAAATTATAGTGACATTTAAAAAAATCTGTGTGTATGAGTCTTCTATCAGAACTAGAAAAATGGCTGCACAACATTGACAAATTTGCTCCTTTGGTATTAAAAAGCAACGCTTATGGATAACACTCTCAGGCATCCTGGAAAAGAGGAAATACCTGCAAATATTCTTTAATCAAGATAAATGTTTTCTTGAGGCTGTAAAGAGCCAACAAGCAATTACTTTCAACCTAGGTATTTTCAAAAGGGACCAGCCGTATCCAGAGGTTCAGCATCCCTACTTAAGCTGTGAATCCTGCTTTGCTACCAGTCGTGGGCAACATGGCTCCACTGGGGGGTATCTTGACCATCCTGCTGGATGGGATTCTTGCTACAGGGAAACTAACATGGCCCTCCCTTGCTACAGGGAAACTAATGCTGTGACCCTCTCGTCTATGCTGAACTAGATTCTTGCTTTTGCCCAGCCTCACCCCCATCTCTTTTGGGTGTATGGAGCCCAATGTCCCATCTGTTTCAACTCAAGCTTTCACAGAAAATGTCATAGTGACCCATGCAACCTTTTGAGTACTGGAGAGAGATTACTACATACTAATCTTACCCACCATGGACAAACAGTTAATCTGGCAGAAAATAGCACTACATGCCTTAGAAGAGAAACACAGACTCCTTTGCAGCAAAAATGTAGAAATTTAACAAGTCTATCGTCATTCACTTCTGAGGCCAAATTGTTAAACGTTTGTCAAATATTAAGGGTTTTGAGAATGCACATTCCACTGATATAAAATCCTTGCATTTTTCCCATTGTGTATGGGTTCAAAGAGGCACATTCCTGTACAGGGCCAACACAAGCAATTGAAATAGCACAGCCACCCAAAAAGGGGGAAGAGTCTGCCTCCTACTTTTGGCATGATTCTTCATTTCAGAACACCATCCACCTTTTTCTTCCTGGCAAGCAAATATACCTGCAGCTGAGGAGAGGCACCCCAGCTCTCAGGTACCATTGCTGGCTTCTTCCTATTCTAGACCACACAAAATCAATGGCATCTGGTCACAGGATGTTTGTCTAACTTTAGATTTCCTTGCCACTGTGACCCTCACCATCATCTAGTTCCAAAATCAAGGACGTATAAAAGTAAAACATTAGATTGCCTCAACCTTTTTAGAAATCTTCCTTTTAAATTCCTGTTCACCTTTTTTTCCTTCACCTGAAAAAAAAAATAATCAAGAAGCATGGTTAACCAGCAGAATACAGATGAAAAAAATCCAGACACTCTTTATAATGGTCAAAGCATTCGTATTACTGTGGGATACCACAAATTCCCACCCACTCAGTATCTCCTTAGACACAACTGAATTAATGAAAGAAAAATGAGAAAAAGGACACAGAAAGCTACTGTAACCACATTTTTTTTCTTTTTTTATTCCCTTTGTCCTTCCTTACCTCAAGAAGCACTACATTTTCTGATATCTCCACTGGAGTTATCACAAGAGAAGTTTTGTACCGAGGAATGTTCTGCTGGACACTGGCCCAGGCTACTTTCAGCCCAGTCTGTGGAAGGAGGCAAGGATATCTTTTCACTTCAACGCTTCCCCTCCTCCCTCACTTCTCATCTGTTATCTTGTGTCCTACTTCACATACAGGTGATCCTTCAGGATCATCTTTCCACTGTCCACATCTCAACTTTCTGGCTTCGCAACAACTAGCACAAGGCACGGCTCCAGCTCTTAACAATGCTTGCACAGTTCCTCATATCAGGCAGTGCTGCTTTTTGTTCTGGTTTATTCCAAAGGTTGCTAGAAATATACATACAATATTTGCCATTTTCTATCTCCAGCAAGTTACCCTGAATATTATGGTTGGGTGAAGTCAAAGGCCCTACAGAAATCTGGTATAAGTGAGTAGGCAGATCGAGATAATCCAACTCAGTGTTGCTGAGAAAGTTTGTAAAAATTAAAAAAACACAACCAACCAATCAAACAAAAATACCCTCACCAAATCCCCTCATAAAAACCCCAACCAAAAATCACCCCAAACCAAACCAAGATTCACATAATGTAGCCCTTCCTGTCCATAGGAATCTACTGGGGAGATACAGACAGGGCAGTGGGGAGATACCCAGCATCCAGGCCCACTGGTACATCAGTCCTGCTGACACCTCAACACTTCTGCACCTGAAGAGCTGCTTATAAGAATGCTGTGTCAAAGTGTAACTGAAGACACCATCTGGCCTCCACAACTTTTATCACTGGCAATAAAAGAAGATTACTACCTACAAACATTGCAAATCAAGTTAAGAGAATTTTGTTGAGAGTTCCATAAGACACAAATAATGAAATATTTTTTTATGAAATACGTAGGGATTTCTTTTCAAAGGAGAGAGCTATTTTTGTCAAAGTGAGCATCTTTCACTCACCCACTGATAATCCTGAAACAATAAAGCCGCTTCAAAAAAATAGAGCTCCAAAATTTAAAATTTCAACTGCAGTCAGGAAATTCCATACATGAACATCACCAAAGTAACTTCCCACCTAGCCAACTTGTACATATTTAACATTTTTCAACTTCCCTCTCCCTCGTTACATAGCAGACTACAATGTTGTTATAGCAATTAAGTTTTATTATTAATACACTTTACAGCATACAACATATTGTACAAAATTAGTAACATGGCAAAGAAAATATGGTTTGCATTTGGTTTCACCATTTTAAGCTATTAACGTCACTAGTTCCTCATTATCCTTTCCATATATTTTAAAAGAAAAAAACTCCTTTTAATGAAACAATGGATGTAAACAAGACTCATTTTAGTAGAGGCACATATTTGTTACTCATGCCATTAAAACTTTCCATAGGAATTGTACTAGGTGACTGAAAGCAATCCATAGCACCTACATTGCTTCTGAGAACATGCACACCACTTACCTGGTTCTGCACCTCAACCATAAATCCTATTAAACTTCAGACCATATTAGTATAATGCACACAGCAACTTGCCTCAGACACTTGTAGTTTAATTTAAAGCTGCAGTTCTAAACAAACAAAAGTTATACTTGTGTTAATAACAGACAAATGCCAAGTTGTCCTATCAATGGGTATGGAGGTTAACACATCAGCATCATGGAAAGTTTTGGTTACTTACAGAAAACAGAGAAGACACCAAAAGCATCGGGATCTGGAGCTTCACCACTTCACCAGAATATTCAGTTCTGAGGGCTTCGCTCTACAGCTGCCAGACATCTCACTTAGAAAAGGAAAAATCATTATTATTCTTAGTAACAGTTCCCAGTCAGGACTGAGGGACCTCAGCAGACAAAGTTTGACATGCTTAGCTCTTACCTGTCTGAAGCACTGCTGGAAGTCAGAGAGCAGTCCCACATGGAAGACACCTGGACTCTGGGAAGTTAAAAGAGAAACAGGGCTCATGAGACAGCAACTTGATGACTCTCAGTCTTCTAGCAGGATTGGAGGTGGTTTTTTCCCCTCTCTTAGAATGGGGAAGATTAGGAGAAGGACTGTGTCAAAGCAAGATCTTCCCTTTTTTTGAACTGGTGAAATGATTCGTCTTGTTTTTGGACTGCAGTGAACCCAGGTGTTCTCAGCATGCCAATAAGACTCCCAGCCTGCCCCAGTCATCCACTCTACTGCTATAAAACGCACAGGCAACACCAGTCCATTTTTTTTATTTTGGAGACGAGCCACGAATTCCCGGCGTGTGACGGAGCGGGGAGGCGCGGGGGCGTGAGGAGTCAGCAGAAAAGTTGGTGGGTGCGCGGAGCGCAGCCCAGCGCGGAGCCGCAGCGGGGGCTTTGCGACCTCCGCAACTTCGGGGGACGAGCCGCAGCCCCTCGGGGCCGGTCCCGGCGCTGCAGCCCCTCGCCACGGCCGCGCCAGAGGTCGGGGCTGACACGGGCCGAGGCTCGCCCGCCCCTAGACCGCTCCCGCTGAACGCACCAGGGCGGCCGCACTGCCTCCCCGCCCCCCGCTCCCGTTCCCGTTCCCGCCGGCAAAACTCCCGGCGCCCGGGGCTGGGCGGTGCCGGCGGGGGGAGCGGCTGCTGGCGGGGCCGGGGAGGGATCCCGCAGCAAGCCCACTCACCCACTACCCTCCGTCCCGCTCGTCCCCCGTGAGTGCCCGCGGCTGCACCTCACCTGCCCGCTGCTCCCGCCGCTCCCGGGAAGCGCCTCCCCAGCGGCGCCTACACACTAACTTTCCTTGCCAAACTTTGGGGCCGGGCGGGCTGGGGAGGTGCCCCCGGCGGCACGGGAACCCCCAGGCCCGGCGGGAGGATCCCCGCGGGGGCAGGTGAGTCCCGCCCCGCACAGCCCGTGTGATGGCGAGGGCAGCCGCGCTCCCTCCCTTGTCACCCGGAGCCCGGAGCCGAACAGCTTTGCTGGCAGGTTTTTGTGTGCTGTTACAAATCCATGGGTAACTCTCCCTGTGTTAGCATATAAATATGTCTAAGCTGCCAGGTAAAGGCAAGTCATAGCTTTAATTAGCTATTAAAACAGGTAGTGTAGAAACTTTATTGTCGTCTATGGGAAACGGGATGACAGAGAGAAATATTTAAATAGTGCTTATTAGAGCGTCGTATGTACCTTGCAAAAATTATCAGCTTATTGTGACAATAGACCAGCCATACAGATAAATGACATTATCTCTCTTTAACGGGAACGTCACTTTTCTTACATTTCCTCGAGGAAGCCCTTGAAGAAATAGCTCTGGCTGTTGTTAAGGGGGGGGGGGGGGGGGGGGAGGGTGTGAGCACAGAAGAGTTCTGACTTTCCAGAGCTGTGCTCAAACCACTTCTATCCATCTCTCATTTAGGCATTTCACTGCAGTGCTGTGTCCCTAGAATTACCCCAGCATGCACTTCTGAAATGTACCCTGATTCATTGCCCCATTGCTCACTTACGGCATAAGGCCTTTTTTTGGAGTAACTGTAATGTAACCTTCATGTTTTTACAACATCTTTTACCCTAACAAGTCTCAAATCATCTCACACACTGTTAAGAGTCAGCACACGGGGATCACTTCTCCAACCAGTGAAGCACAATCACCCTCAGCGTGAAGCTGAATGTCGTCCACCAGCTGAAGACAAATGTTTCAGAGCAAAGAGTAGAAAGCTGGGTGCTGCTCAGATTTCCAGGAGGGTTTAAGCAGAGTGTAATTACCCCTTCCAGAGCTTAGATGTTCATTGAAAAGTGCTCCAGGATCTGTAACAGCCATAGGCAGCCACAACCTGTGCTCAGGAGTGTTTGCTTGGATTTCCAATCCAAGTGCTAAGCCATCCTGCTCCTGCTTAGTTTGGGTTGTGTGAATACATATAACCTCACCCTGGTGCTATTAATTTTCTCTTTTATCTCACTTAAGTGCCTCCCTAGTCACAGTCGATTATAGAGGCTGCCAGCTCAGAGTAGACCCAGGGAGAAAACATTTTTCCTTTAAAGCCAACCATGGATCCATTTTAAAGTTCTAATGAGTAAAGACTATCCCTCAAACCTGTAGCTTGACTGTCTCCCTACTAGAAATAAAAGAGGAGGAAAAAGAGAGGGAAGCAAAATATGGCTGCTGTTCGTTATAGAGTTGAGGAGCATGTTTCCCCTTTTAGACAACCTGGCAGGCATGTGATACTATGTTAACCATATGCCTTAACAAAAAAATGCAACCTCATATTTAAATTACAGGTCTACTAGTCCCTGATGGCCAATGAGATTTTAGAGAAAAACAATATACTTACTGAATTTTAGTTTCTTGACGTAATACACTTAGAAGATTGTAATGAAGGTCACTGAAGCTTCTAATGATATACAGATTAACCTTCTGAGTGTTGTAGATTTAATTTCACTCAATAAGTACATTCTGTGAACATATTTCTTCAGATTGATCTGTTCAGATTATACCCATCAACCAATTAAAGTTATATATAACACTGAAAAGATTAGATGTCTTGATTTTTATTTTTCTTCATTTAAAGGAATAAATTAATTGCTTTGGGATAAAGCCAAGTCTTATTCTACAGTTAAAAAAAAAAAAACAAAACAAAAACAAACCAGAAAACCAGACCAGTGTGTTAAGCTTGTATAATACTTGTTCCACCACAGACTCTTCCAGTGCAGAGGGCATATTCCAGCTATGGATATAAGAATCTTTACTAGATTAAAATTCAATATTCAGGTGAAACTAGACACTGGATTAGGAAGCTCATCAACTACGTAAATGTAACCAGCACCTTCTGAAGCTTGACATGTAGCAAAAAAGAAACAAATTACAAAAGGGTGAGGGCAGTCTGCCTGTGTCAGCAGGGCTGGTGCGGAGCCAGCGCCTACACCAGAAACTCTATTCTTGGCAGGTTTCTGCATGTTTCCTGTGAATCTTGGTAGACAAGCAGCTCAATAGTTAAAGTAGCAGCACCATCATCTGAAAGCAGTGAGACAACAGCCAGGTGGTGGTGCCTTCTCGCAGGAACAGAAGTGGTCAGCGCAGTTAGAGAAGAAAGATAACAAGTCATGAATTGAAACTGAAACCGGCCAAAAATCGGAGGTCAATTTGCTGAAATAAATTCACCTTTACTATACAATAAGATTAATTTTAGCTCTTTACACATTTCCTGTGTAGATTTTCAGGGACAACCATGGAGAAAAGTTTGGTGTGGAGGGTAGGTCACAGTAACCCACGCTCACAGCTGCTTCTCTGTGAACTGCTAGTGCATCCTGTGTAAGGACCCTAAATCCCCTGTGGGTGCTCAGATCATGGGACAGAAACCACAAGTATCATTGCTCTGAGCTGTTAAGACCCTCCCCCCCCCCTTGCTGAATTTTCCACCCAGCCTAGGTTTCCATTTGACATTTTTCAAAGTTTACTGCAAAGTTAGCTCAGCTGCCTACACAGATACACACATTTCAAGGAGTCAGAAATTGGTATTCTCACACTGAAAGAAAAATTTAATATAAAAACCATGTTTCAAGTAGCATCTGTGACAAAACTGTGCCTGTTTGGCCTGATCTTCTTCCAAAGGGGAAGGATTAGACCTTCAGAGAATTTTTTAGATTAGCCAAATTAATTCCAAGTCCCATTATTGTTTACTGCATTGAATTTTGGGACAGGCCACACTGGCACAGTTTCAGTGCCGTGTGCTATATATCAGTACAGAGCCAATTAGACAAACCTTTGGTGATTAAAGGCATTTTATCATTATGAAGGTGTCTTTTACTCCAGGGTATAAGCCATTCAGCAAGTAGTTTCATTTTATTTCTTTGATTTTTTTTAATTTTCAACTAATTAGCTAGAAATGCACCACCTACAACATGCTCCTTTCCTAGGTTACGAGGCTAACATTTGCTTCTACCAAGCATTGCTATGGGGCATTTGCTTTGTTCTTTAAAAAAACTGCTTGCAACTAGGTATAACATTTATTTGCTCAGTATCTGGCATGCTGGGGTGATTATCAAAGCCTTTCTAAACAAGTTGTGTGCTCATTCAAAAATATTAGGCAATTCAAAGTCTGTTGTTCTTCAGCTATTACAAAGTTTTGTTTTCAAGAAGTCTCTAAAAATTTGTCTTAAACACTTCAATGAGTTAACAGCGAAGCTGTTTTATCCTAGTGGGCTCCCATTCCCAGAGGATGGCCAAAAGTAAGCAGTAGCTGCCAATTTTTTTTTTATTCTGAAGTTTGGTGCGTTATCTTACTCCAATTCTAAAATATTCTTCAAATGGCAGCTGCTATTCAGTTAAGATTAACTCCCCTTTCTCTTACTACCTCTACCCTATCTCTGGATGACCAGGGTTTGTGTGAGTACTCACGCTATTATATGATGAATTTATATCTTAGAGTGATGTATACCCAGTTTTACAGGCTCTGTGCATGGATGTTTTCAAGACAAGACTGGATAGAGCCCTGAGCAATCTGGCTTGATGCCATGGCTGGTCTAGTAATGTGTTGGAGGCTGGACTATAGGTTTCCTGGGATCACATCCTATGTGAGTAGTCCCATGCTATCTTCCTAGATAGCCCACATGGAAATCAAGAGATCACACTTTCACCAAAATGGTCTCATCTCACTACAAAAATGAGATTTGAAGACTGCTACCCTTCACAGAATCACAGACCACAAATGAATGAACGAGGTCCTTAACTAGGGTCAGAAGGCTTTCTGTTGAAATGTGGTTTGTAAAGCAAGTGAGAAGTTCCTCTGAAAAAAAGTCTTTGAGACTTTTTGGACTGTGTTTGCAAAAGCTGTGTAACATTGCAATTTCTAGTTTGTCTGGTCCTAGAGAAGAGGAAACATTCACCTTTGTTCTGCCAAATAATACTTGATTATGGTACCTCCTGGAAAAGAATGAGCTATTGGTATCAGAGTAGCAAGCTGGGAGACAGTTTCTTTGGTGTTTCAGTTATTGGCATTACAGTGCCCCCACAAAATTAATTGTAAATTTCTTAACTGTCTGATCTAAATGCTTTAAAAGCATCCATAAAGATCTTGGATGGTATGTTCTTCATGCTTGTCTTTCAATTTTGACTGAAGGGATGCTAGCAGATCGTCTCTATACTTACCATGGAGTCCGGAGTTCTCAGCTATGACTAACTGCTCTT